CCTCGACTGGCGCAGCAAGGGCGACGTGGTGTTTTCGAAGTTCTGTGTTACGTGAAATTGCGTGGTGTTCAGCTCGGCAATTCTTTCTGGGACCTACCGCGGTCAAATCAGATCGCCGTGCAGCTGAAGGAGTGCACAGTGAAAATGTTCGCCGCTCAGAATATGCTACAACGCTGCGATCTGCTCAACGCTAAGCCTATTCGCACAGTTCATCGCCGACGGACGAGCGACTCTAAAAGAAATCGCCGAAGATCTCGCTATGCACTGGACATCAGGGTCATGAATTTCATTCCCCGATAGCATTGATAGAAGGTGCCGTTTCAACGGGACGATTGTCGGAGGCTCCGTGTTCGAATTTGGCTACGCACTCTTAAGCCTGGTTCAGACAGTTGCGTTTGACTGCGTTGCGGCAGCGAGAACCCAGGACATCCCTGCTACTTATATCGTCTGCTAAGATGATTCTTTGAATTGGATTGCACGCTTCATACGAAGCACAGATGTGCCGGTGACTCGCTTTCGGTTCTCAATGCAACGCAGTCAAACGCACTCAAACGCAAGTGTCTGAACCGGCCTTTACTCGTAGCCTCTGTACCCCGCAGAAAAGCACGCTTGACGAGGCAGCTGCAGCTTGGTTTAATTTGAAATAAAATGATTGGACACGTTTTCATTTTCAATATTTCTTTCCAGGAGCATGGTTGGGCTATAAGCACGCGAAATTCCGCATCTCTAGCAAATCTAAAAAAAAAAAAAAAATATTGGGTTGTGTGTATGTTTATACAGCCTAGAACTTGATCTGCCTCACAGGGGCGACGAGTCTCCCAGCTGTAGATGAGCAATTTAGCCAGTGCAGTACAACCGCTAGCCTGGGGTCTTTAACGTGCACCACGCAGTAGTGATACACGACCGCACGCCGGTACGATGCTCATCCAGATCGAAACGGGCAGGGGTGGGGATTGAACCCAGGATCCCTGGGTTCTGCAGCGCGAGCTTTCGCTCCACGTGCTCCGAGCTGGTGTGCACTAACCAAGATCATGCGCGGTGTTCACTCGAAAACGTAACGCACAACTAAATTCGGTTCGAGCAGGTCATTTTTAGCGTACGCTATACTATTGCGTATTGCGTACGCAAGAGCCAGCAACGCTATACTAAAACTGTCTAATATGCATGGAAGCATTCCCCTGGGCAAATGAGGAGTGGCTCTCAAGAACACAACTGTGGGAAATGTCATTCATATAAAGATTTGTGCGACCTAACAGGTGTAGCAGCAGCTTGTGAACACCATGGACAATGCTTGTCATTGTCTAATCTGGCTTTAAGGAAGCATCTCAGAAACCTGGAGTGAAGAATTAGTGTAAACCTCTAAATATAGATAACTTTTTTTTCCGGATAAAAAAAAAAAAACATTTCATAGATATACAACAAACATTTTAACTCAGCCTTCTGATATTGATACAGACAACCGAAGGCGTGGTTGCAGTCAGCTGTGCTGCTGGATCATTTTTTGAAATCTAGAATGTCAATAAAACCCCTGCGTCTGCCCCTTTTGATAACGTGAAATCAGCCGGTTCCAATAGCCCAGCTCCCAAAGCGTGACAATTTTTGAAGCATCCCATGCAGGATTTCCCCAGCTCTGGTCGGTGTTCACTGAAGTACCTATGGCTCATAGGTCCAGCACTGTACCACTGAATGAACAAGGTAGAGGGCCTTACAGCGACATACTCGCAGCTGAAAGTGACCCCCAATAGGCCGCTGCTATCCATGTTGCACATTTCTGACCACTAGACACGTGACCTTACAGTTTTACATCTAGATTTTAATGAAGTACCACGCAGAAATAGTTACTTGTTGATTTTTAATAACAGTACCAACAAGGTAAGTTACATTTCTTTTGTTTTAAGCCCAAAATGCGCTTTTCCCTATTGAAAATTCCATCAAGGTACGTAATTTGGGACACTGACTGCCAGTCAGCAGCCTTGGTGGAACGTGATGGACCATCAGACGTCATCTGATGGTCCATCAGGTGACGTCTGACTGCCACTGCCAAGGGAATTTCAGCAACAAGGGCAGCATTTATATATGAGTAAAGGTATACACACTCTTAAATATCGCCAAATGCCTCGATAAAACAAAATGTTCGATAAAAAAAAAAGAAAAAAAAAAGCAGGACCACCGCGGATCGAACGCGCGACCACTAGCGTACAAATCGGACATCTTAACCCCTATGCCATGCCACCGCTTGGGAAGCTCGATTTGACTATTCGCTTTATACGAGATGCTTCGGCTGCAAATGCAGTTAAGCTGTCAGCATGTTATGCAAGCACTTGTACATCACTCGCCGTACTTCAGTTCTACTCACCTGCCATGTAGAGTACTTTCGCGTCGTAGAACGATCCTTTTGTTCGCGCGTCTCCGGCCCAGTAGACCTGGTACACCTTGTCGTCTTCAACTACACCACTAAAGTCCCTTACATCGTCGGAACTCACAACAGGCTGGGTCTTGTCGAGTAGAAATTCTACTAAAACGTAAGACATTCTAGAGTCCGGGCAGGATCAACAGGTTGGAGCAAGCGGGCAAACAAAACGAGTCGAGAGCAATTATTATGAAAGCTCGGCGAAGGGAAAAGCGAAGTGTCGTCTTCAGCGCTTCGGCGGACTTCTGATCAAGGTTGTCGGTCGGTTGCGTGTCATATCTCTAACGTCAGCGGTTTTATGGGCTCACGTCCCGAAATTGTTTTCTCGTGCATAGATTACTTTTCGTATTCATAGGTTTGACGAAATAGTGGTATCCGAACGAACTTTACGTCCTTTGACCGTACGTCTGTCTGCACGTCAAAGCGTTTTGACGTACAGTCAGAGACAGTCGATGTACAATCAGAATCGCCACCAAGACATCCTGATGGCATTTCGCGGCGGCCGACTGCCACCAGGAAACCATCAGAAAGCCGACAAGCGGAGTCTGACTGCAGTTTGACTGTCGGTCAGAGTAACTTGTTGGCCAATCAGACATGCTTGACGTACAGTCAGGCACAGTCAGCGGTCCACTAGAAAACATTGACTGCCAAACAGGGTTACATTGATGGATTTTTCCTTCGGGTTGCAACAAAAACTCATTCAGCTTCGCAATGCCTCTGCCAGGTGCCGTCAGCCACGGTGCTTTCCTCGGAGTTTTTATCAAAGCCTATTGAAAATTCCATCAAGATACGTAATTTGGGACACTGACTGCCAGTCAGCAGCCTTGGTGGAACGTGATGAACCATCAGACGTCATCTGATGGTCTATCAGATGACGTCTGACTGCCACTGCCGAGGGAATTTCATCAACAAGTGCAGCATTTATGCAAGGGTAAAGCTATACACACTCATAAATATCGCCAAATGCGTCGATAAAACAAAATGTTCGAGAAAAAAAAAAGAAGAAAAAAAGCAGGACCACCGCGTATCGAAGTCGCGACCACATGCGTACAAATCGGACACCTTCACCCCTATGCTACGCCACCACTACAGAAACGGGATTTGACTATTCGTTTTATACGAGATGCTTCGGCTGCAAATGCAGTTAAGCCGTCAGCATGTTATGCAAAGCACTCGTACATCACTCGCCGTACTTCCGTTCTACTCACCTCCCATGTAGAGTACTTTCGCGTCGTAGAACGATGCTTTTTTTCGCGCGTCACCTGCCCAGTAGACCTGGTACACCTTGTCTTATTCAACTACACCGCTAAAGTGCCTTACATCGTCGGAACTCCCAACAGGCTGGGTCTTGTAGAGTAGAAATTCTACTAAAACATAAGACATTCTAGAGCCCGGGCAGGATCGACAGGTTGGAGCAAGCGGGCAAACAAAACGAGTCGAGAGCGATCGTTCATGAAAGCTCGGCGAAGCCTCTATGGGCGAAGCGAAGTGCGAAGTGTCGTGTTCGGCGCTTCGGCGGGCTTCTCATCAAGGTTGTCGGTCGGTTGCGTGTCATATCTCTAACGTCAGCGGTTTTATGGGCTCACGTCCCGAAATCGTTTTCTCGTGAACAGATTACTTTCGTATTCATAGATTTGACGAAATAGTGGTATCCGAACGAACTTCACGTCCTTTGACCGTACGTCTGTCTGCACGTCAAAGTTTTCTGACGTACAGTAAGAGACAATCGATGTACAGTCAGAATCACCACCAAGACATCCTGATGGCATTTTGCGGCGGCCGACTGCCACCAGGAAACCATCAGAAAGCCGACAAGCGGGGTCTGACTGGAGTTTGACTGTCGGTCAGAGTAACTTGTTGGCCAATCAGACATGCTTGACGTACAGTCAGGCACAGTCAGCGGTCCACTAGAAAACATTGACTGCCAAACAGGGTTACATTGATGGATTTTTCCTTCGGGAAGCTAGACAGAAATCTCTGGGGCCAACTGTATTGTAAAAATAGTTTATCATGTTTTTATGCAGCGATCGCAATACAAATCTCAGCTTAGTTTTGCGTAAAAGGCTCACAATTTGGTACGGTCCTGTGTCTAGTGGTCAAAATTGTACAACTTGGCGGCAGCCAATTGGGGGGACTTTTGCCTGGTGAATGGGATACCAGTTTATCACTCTAAGCCCCTCACCTCGTTGCACTGGGTGTTAAATACTGCACTGTAAATTGCAATCTACTGAAATCAATTGCGATCTGCTGAGAGGGCTCGGCAAATCACAGCTCAGAAGCTGTCCTAGTTAAAGAAAATGATTTCTGTGCCTTCACACTAAGCATGGCGTGTCAGGTGCCATGCTATGCTCAAATCAATGGTACACGCCTGCTTTTTGGCCAAAGCTGCTGCTTGGCTGTCATTTGCCAGGCTGCCGCAGTACTTCACAATAATTGGCTCTGTGTAAGCTTTGTGGAAAAATGAATGTACGAGTCTATATCTAGGGGGTCTTCTAAAGTAACACATAATTGTGATTTTTTTTTGTGCTCCTAATTGCAACTGCATATTTTTGTAGCAAACTAGCTGTAATAGCAATAACATGAATTTCAGACCACCACCACCAACTACATCCGACAGAGATGCCACCCTGGGCAATGCTGCAAATGATGGGGCATGTGGCAGCCGCGATACGACCTATGCAGTGTCGCCGCCCCCCCGAGACGCCAACATCTCTGCGTCACCGCCCAGGAAGAGGCGGCCAGCTGCAAGTGGTGAGTACCTCAGTAACCCCTGCTAACTGGCTCTCCTTAATTGTCTGCTTGATCCTGGTGCTGTGTGTTAGAAAGGAGTCTGCTGCTAAATCACCCGACCTTTTTTGTGTAGGAATGAGAGACAGTTTTAGTAAGCTGCTTACAAGTTTGCTGTCCTTTCATCTGTGTTAGGAACTTGCATTTGGACATTAATCTAAACCGTATAGGTATTCGTTGCCCACACTTGGACTTTTGGAAAGAGTTTTCCTCGCTCCCACAGTACGGCTGAACAGATCTGAGACATGAATTACAGATGTGCCTGTTTCCTTGAGTAGTAATACATCAAACTGCGTTTGGGAAAGAGCGTACGGGCAGGGCAATAAAGCTCGAGTGAGAGAGCACATGTTTGCAGTGCAACAGCCACAATGCTACAGCAGCCTCCATGCCTCATGAAGGAGCCGGGCAGCGAATTCAGAAGTGACATCATTATTTGTGCTTTCTCTTTAAGATATGTGATAAAAATCTTAGTTCTTTTTCAAAGAAAAAAGATGTTGGCCTGCAAATAATTCCAATTCTGAAACTGGCCCGATTCGCAAAAATTTATCCCACGAAAATTACTGCGTTTACAGTAGTTTGCAACCTGCAGTCTGTGATGTCACAAACTTGCAGGCCGCATAACCAAGCTACTCTGATGCACTGTTTATTCATCACAAACTATTTAAGGTAACATTCCATTTAATAATGAAATAAAGCTAATTTTCTTTCCTTTTTTTTTAGTTTTGACTTTTTGGAATTTTTTTGCAGGAAAGACGCGACGGTCCGAGGTGGTGGCATTTCTAGAGAGGTGTGACCAAAGTGAAAGAGTACTGAAAGAGCGTCAGCTCAACCTTGACGAAAGGAAGATGGCCCTTGATGAGAACCGCTTTGCGCTAGAGCAGCGAAAGCACGAAGAGGAGGCAGAAGACAAGGCAGAGGAACGGCGTTTGCAAGTAGAGGGGAAGCGCCTGCTTCTCGAGATGCTTTCAAGGAAACTCAAGAATTGAGTATATGCAATAAAACAGGAGTGCCACAACATCAAGATCATCTCTTTGCAAAGAGGAAGACGAAACAAAGGTACAGAGACGAAATGCGGAAATACAATTTTTTTAATATGAAAATGGGATTAACCTATAGTAATGTTGACAGTTGGGCGAGTAGGTATAGCATACTTTTTTTTTTTGAGGGGAGGGGGTGTGGGCTTCATTTTATGTTTTTCTGGTAAGATCCTTAGCTTCTCTTTTGTCTTTCTCTTTGTGTTGCATTAAGTATCAGTTGTCAGTAGTGCTCTATCCTGTCTCACTCTTCTATCTTTTGTTTTGTGCTGCTAATTTCTCAAAGTACCGCAGCATTTTATTAATACCTAGTGCACTACACTGCCATAATTCTTAGACTTGCCAACCCCACAAAGATGGCAGTACTGGGGGGGACACCCAAATACTAAAAAGGTTTTCTATTGCAAAGTTGTTTTACAAAGACAAAACGTCACAGCTGGGGTATTAAGACATCATTGTATACAATTTCTAGACGCAAAACTAGGTTAGACCAATGCTAGGACCAGGGACAACCAAGAGAGAGTACGAGTGTCCTTTTACATCATGGGCACGTGACTCGGAAGTAGGAGCATGAGCTAAAAAAGGCCAAAGGCTAAACGCTCGGACAAACGGAGGAAATTGGTTTTCTGTTATTTACTTAAGAAGTGTCAGAAATTCACTCCCACAATTGTTTATGCAAAGTCCAGGAATCGTTGCACAGCTCCTTTAAGCTGGAAGTGAAATATATGGGCTCCAGAGAACAAAGACTGGCTTTTCATTTGTAGTCAAGTGATGAAACAGGAAATTTATTGGACACAGTGGGGTCAGGTCACGCAACGCAGACAACTGATTGGAGAAACGACCAGGTAGCCCTCCCTCGTGGTACCCCATTGAAACACCTCGCATCAAAAAAAAAATATTTACCGTGCCAGAGCTGTGGCGCAATCAAAGTCCTACGACTTAAACAGTTGGAGCATTCTTTAAATACTCCTGCAGCGTAGGAGGGTCCAGGTCAAGAAAGCTTGTGACCTGGCTGCCGTACAGACAAGTGTGGCAATTAGTGAGCAGTGTAGCCGCTTTATACATGAGAGCCACTCGCTGCTTAAGGATCTTTTGGTTTTTTTTAAGTCCACGAAAGCAAATTCTGCCACAACCTTCCCAAACCCCCATTCGACAGCTTGTCGGACGGTGCTCATTTCTTTGTTGGAGTGCAGCTGAGCTGCAGTGGCTCCCGGCGTTCTGTAGGGCTTGAGAAGGAGGGGCCCCATAGGGTAGGCAGGGTCTCCATACAGCACATAGGAGTGCCCCTGTACCAGCCTCCGCAGCCTTTGGAACAGGAGGCTTCCACGCAGCATATTTGGAAGTGCAGTGCGATTGTTAAACTAGCATAGTGCATAGTGGGCGGTGTTGAGTAGAGAGCTGTGGAATGGAGATTTATAAAAAGCAAGAAATAAAGACCTCCAATTCTGCCTTTAGTTACATATGTAACTAAAGGTATTCTGCCTTTAGTTACATATAATTCCTGTGGTAGTATTATCTGCACGCAAATCTTATCGCATATATAATATCCAACTCCAACAGCGACAACTTGTAATGACCTCTGCACGCGTCAACTGCTCCATGGGGCAGCAGTCCGTAATACTGATGTTCCTAAGCAGTGGACACAACTAATATACATCTCTGCCAATGATGCTGCAACTGTTAGTATGACATGCATTGCAGAAACATACTGCAAGCACCAGCATCCAAATAAACCATACATATCTAGTTTCATCTCTAGAAGTTAAGCCTGTACTGATTGAACCATTTGACGAAGGTAAGTACTGTAAACGACTTATTTTTCACTGGCTCAATATTTTGTGATTTAGGTCAAAGCTGAAGTTTGAAATTATTCGCGGGTTCTAACTTTCGCGAGGCAGTGGGATATCAATGTAGCTTCAAGTGTGTTTATATTTTACCAGAATTGTCCAAGGGACTTATTTGCAAATTGTAGGCGATTCGCAGAAATTGTGAAATTTAAGTCCGCGCGAAAATGAAGTCGTTTAGTCATCACCTGCTGGTCTGTATCCTTTCCACAAGTGTCCGATATGCTTTGGTGCAGATTAGTATGAAATCAATTATTATCTTTTTCTTTAGTGGCTACTCAGCAAACATGAGTATGGCTTTGTGTATAATTACACTGCTGCATTTTGCCACGAAAGTAATATGCTACAAAGCAGAAGTTCGCTCAAATTATTAAATGGACGAATCTGGTGGGTGAACTCCAAGAAGGGCCTCCCGTAAACCTTGGATGCCAGTGGCATTCGCTAAAACCCTTTGCCCTGAGGGAATGCAAAAGTTGCCTTATTTATGAGGGACACCCCAAATATTTATTTGGGAAAAACACACTCGGGATGCGAGGCCTCTACTTCGCACTCCTGGTATCAGAATGGAACCTTGACGTCACAGCGGCGGTCCTGAAGAAACTTGCAAAATTTCAGCTGCCCCACTTAAAGGAAGCTTGTTTGTAACTAAATAGCTGATGCTGGGTCTATATTGTGACAGTTTATTCCAGGTCTCCCTAACGTTTTCGTCCTTGTCCTGTGCCCCTCGTCTTCCTTTTCTTCTAGTTTCCCTGCTGCTCCTTTTCCACCTCTCTCGCAGTTACAATATTACATAAGCTGATGATGGGTGAGCAAACGATGCAAAGTCGGGTCGCGACTTTTTAGTTATGGCTGCATGTCCCGTGGCTTCCAAACGGACCGCGCTAGGGAAAGGCTTTTTGCATTAGGGACAACCCTGGACACGTTTTAACCCATTCGGTTCACCTGTTCACGTTGCTTTGCGGCGGCAGTCTGAGGCGGCTTGTTAGAAAAAGAATCTAATTCCGAGCTGCAGATGTATGAACCTCTGCGGTTTGGCTTGTTTAGTCCCGTGTGTATCACTGGGACGCGTGCTAACGCATACGGTCTACTGGTTCACGCCGCTAAGTGGTGGCAGTGTAAGGCGGCTCACTACAAAAAAGAAAAAAAACAAAAACAAATTTGGTCTTTAATTTTCTAATTATTCTTCCAAATGGCAAAGTAAACTAATTAGAGACACACTTTTGATTACTGATAACCATTTGGCACATGATAAAAATCTTGTTTCTGTTAGAGTAAGAAACGAAAATGGAGATGCTCCTAACCACTGATCTCTACGACAATAGCTGTACCGCGCATCCCCGCTTGGTCGCTGCAGCGCGAGTGCAGCCACCGGACGTCCATCTCGCAGCACAATTGTGTTTTTGCTAGCGTTGCAGAGGTCGGTGGCAGCGTGCTGAAGACACGTTTTTACTCGCTCGTCGTCATTCACCGAATAAGTTTTTTTTAAAACCCTGTGTAAGCAGTGAGGCTTGCCGTTGAGAGCACAAGCAAATTTTTACAAAAGCGCAGTGCCGCAGGAAAAAGCCACAACTCCTCGAAGGCAAGTCTCGCCGGTCTCGCGGCATGATCAAAGCTTCCTTGGCACGCCAAAGTGCTGCGTCTCTGTGTGTTTGCATGGCTGGATAACGATCAAGAATGGACACCGTATGGATGTGTTTTGCGGGTGCAATGTATGTGAAGCCATATGTAAAGGCACAACTCGTCGAAAGCAACTTTCGCCTGTCTCGCGGCATGATAAAAGCTTTCTTGGCACGCCAAAGCGCTGCGTCTCTGTGCCTTCGCATGCTTGAATACCGATCAAAAATCAGCGCCACGGCAAAGTTTTGTAGGTGTGTCACGCATAGATAACTTATTGTCATATATCGGCCATGGAGTTCTGCATCCTCCAACTGTTCCGGCGAGTTGCTATCAATAAAGGCGGGAAAGGAATTTATATGGCTGCTCTTATGTACTATTAACCATGGCTCTGTTCCAAATCTACTCAAATGAATCACATGGCAGAACAACTAGAGCAATGCTATGGAGCAGGGAGGGTGGCCCATATGGTCGTGAGCAATCTGTTGACCAATCACAATTAGGCGAGCCACACTCAAATGCCAAGTGCGATAAAGTAGGTTGATAATGAGCCAGCACTGACTAGTGATGAAGAGCTGCTGTGGTCAGTATTCTGTAAACTGTTTAACGAAGAAAAGAAGATGTATCCCCAACCCCTCTCCCTACACACTTTTCTGTTGCCACTGGACGCTGGATCAAGCTTGTTTCTGGGACCCAATTGATGCAAGCTGCAACTGGCTGTCGGAGTAAAGTAAAACTACAGTGGCTTAAAAGGGTAGTGTGGTTATCGTGTAACCTCCACCATGCATTGGGAACGGCCGCTCCTTGGAAGACGGTGTAGGTGGCGCTTCGATCCGCAACACCGTTGGGTGGCTCAATCGGCCGGCAGATAGAGGCACCCTAACACGCTTATAATAATAATAATAATGCTTTATTTCCATCCTTTATGATGGTGGGGCCCAAGAAAAAAAAGCTGCAGTAAGCAGCTTGACGAGTCCCTGGGTTCCTACAATGGACAGCAGGAAGCATGCGGGGAAACAAACAAAAAGCAACATAATAGCGTGCTAGAGGCAATGACGTTAGAAATCAGTACACAAAACTAAAAGCACCTTTTGCAAATGTTAAGAGAGAAAAGGATAACGTACAACCATATAATAAGCGCAAGTCTCTAAAAGTTAGATTTTCTAGATCAATGTTATTGCTGTTAAGGTTGTTTAACAAATGCGGGAGAGTGGAGCTTAACATTTGAGAGCCATAATTTGTTCACTGCGTGACCATCTTCCATTTCTCTGCACTGTTAGCAAGTCCCGTGTATTTGGCGAATATTTGGGGTAAAAAACACGCTATTTACACAAATTACCATAAATTTACACGATGAGTAACGGATAATTCGTTCAGAAATCATGCGAGGTTTTAAAAAACGTGTTTTGGTTCGGTCATACACGCATAACCGTGTAGCCGACCTCGATAACACGCATCGCCCCCGGCGACGACCGCGGCATTGCCGGCTATCGAAGCACCAGAATGCTTGGGGACACATTTAGAAAGG